ATCTTGAGTGACTTCAAGAGACGTCATCTATCTATCGTTAAAGAAGTTCCCTCTGCTTTGCCTGGGTTTCTCAGATGCGTATTCCAATCACAGTGCTTAGAAACCCCAATCAGTCCTGGTAATCTGAGTAGGATTTACCTTCAGTACATTCAAAATAATGCTGTGGGGTTCCGGAAGTGTACAGCTCCTTCCTTCCCTCCTTCTGTTCTTTCATCATCCTTTCCTCTTGGCGTTCCTCCCTTCCGATGTGTGTCTTTACATATAAATATTATATGCCCAGAGAAGAGAGGGAGAGAAAGAACGAGAAGGCATGCCGAAAACCAGCTACACAACCTGAGGAGTATGCAAACTTTCTAAAACTTCGCCTCTTCATCCCTCTCCTGCCCTTGCAAAACTTTCCAAAAATTGCTATCAAAAGCTGATTTTCAGGGAGTAATTCAGGAGCTGCTCCGGTGTGTCCTCCTTTCTGAAAGGCTTCTGATGACCTTGCCATATCGGTGGGCTCTGCCACCCTCTCTGCCTTGGGCGGGGGGGGGGGGGGGAGGGGGGGGGGGGGCCCCCGGGGGTTTTGGGGGAAGAAAAAAGGGGGGGGGGGGGGGGGCAGCAAGAACAGAGGAAGGAGAAGAAAGGGAAAACCTGCCTCTCTCCCAAAGATGTATTAGCATAACTCGACACCTAATTGCGAAGCACGTGAATTAACATAGCTTTTGCGTCCCGCTAGGCCTCTGTCCACCACCACGGCATTTGCATATTGTCTTTCCCGGACTGACGCCGCCAGGAAGCAACCTTGGCGTTTGCCCAAGCCTTGCAAAGCAAAAGAAGCCCTTCGTGCCCCCGCCCCCAGGAACGAAATCTCTACATGTCTTTCGCCTTATCCCTTCATGCATCCCCCACCACTTTCCTCTTGAAATCACCGGGCGTTTTATTCTTATTCTCATTAATCCCTCATTTAAACCCCAGCCTGAGCATTGCCTCGTTGAGGATTTTATGTCAGCTATTCTTTCAGTTTTCCCCTCCTCTGTACCCTGTCTGTCTGTCTCTCTCTCTCTCTCTCTCTCCCTCTCTCTCTCTCTTTCTCTCCCTCTCTTGCCTTCTGCTGTAAAGCCAGGGGCCATTGTTAACCGTGAACAGGGCGTACCAAGACTATAGGGCAGTCAGAATCAAAGGATTCCCTCTACATCTTTGGAAGGCTGTCTACAATCTTGTGATTTCTACCTCTTCTCACCTTCCCCCCACTCCTCCCCAAACGGGTGGGGAGAGAGAGAGAGAGAGAGAGAGAGAGAGAGAGAGAGAGAGGACCGGAGCATCTCTCACCGTAAGCTCCTATGGAGATGTCCCCCTCCTTTTGGCGTTATGACCGGATTTCTCTCTCTAGATATTCCTTGAACATTTAAAAAAAACCGAGAGGAATGGGGGGAGCTCTCCTCGCTTATTGATTGCGTTGCTTGCTGGCTGCGAAAATATATTATGTCTGCTCGCCGCGCTGCTCTCGTCAGAGGCTAAGGTAAGGTGGACCGAAATAGGCTATCAGTTTGTGAATGGCGGAGACCGTGTCTCCATGATTTATAGCTGTATGACTCGCATCGCGGTTCATGAAGAGTTCACAAGCTTTAAGCTTCCTTCCACGCAGCGACTCTCTCTCTCCCTCTCTCTCTCCCCCTTTCCCTCTCTCTCTCTTCTTCTTCTTCTTCCCCCCTTCCCTTCCCTTCCCTTCCCTCCCCTTCCTTCTACCCCTTTTTTCTCTTTTTGCTATTCTCACCCCTCAATTTCCTCCCCCTTTCCCCTTGCCTTTCAAGTATAACGCTCTCTCCCCCTCTCTCTCTCGCTCTCTCTGACGGTGGTGGAAGATTTCATTTCATTTACAAAGGGAAAAGCTCTGAATACAGTGACAATTTGCTTTAAATCGGAGTGTTGTCCTGAACCCCAATCTTTCGTTGTCGTTCTTGTTGCTGTATTATTATTGATAATGTTGTTGCTGCTGTTTTGGTCTAATACATCTTCAGGGGAAAGGATTCTTCTTGGATTTCTCCCATACTAAGAGTATGATTGCAAATTTTTAGTATTCTTTTTCCAACATGGAGGTTAAAGGGAAAGAAAGAGCTTTTATTTCTGTTCCACCACCATCACCCATATGGCCTTCAGTTTGAGCTTGTCACGAGCTCTTCAAGCATCTTCTTAACTCTTCCATTCAGGTTTTTTGTATTTATAAACAACAACAATTTCTTCACTTGCAAAAGTTCAAGAGAAGAGAGCCATTTATTCTGAAGTCAGATTCTTCATCAGGAATATTATTTAAAAAAGAAACTTCCATGCAGACAGGAACAACTTCTGGGCTGGTTTACCATTTCTGGGATGAACTGCAAATGCACCCTATCATTTCTTATTTATTATTTCAGTTGAGATTTGGGGGCATTTTTTTAAACAACAACAACAATTCCTTGGAGTAAATCATTTACGATTCCACCCGTCTTCGACTAAGATAAATGACCACATTTGGGATGTGTTGAAAGATGAGATACAAAAGGGGACTAAAATCTTGGCTACTGAACATATAGAGCACTTTGAATTCCTTTTCGAGAGGGGTAGCAATGGATTAATTTTTAATGTACTACTTAATTTAAACACACAGAGAAAATATTAATTTGCTTCCTGCTTTTCATAGGCCCTCCGAAGGTCTCAGAAAATCCAAAACAAACCAGTGAGGCCTAGTAAAATCATCATTATGACTGAGCTCCTTAGTCATTTTTAGTGAACCCAATTTTTTATAAGCAATTATTTTTTTCTTTTCTGTTTTTAATTACTCAATTGGAATAACAGCAGAAGACTATTTAGGGCTCCTTTTTCTTTCTTTCCTATAAGTTGAAATAAGCCAGGGACATGATCATTCTTTCCAGTAACATCCAGGAAATATTTTAACTGCCTATGTCTCGAAATCAATTGTTATAACTAAGCCATGGAAGACACTAACGGATCAAGACCTGGGATTTTAGAGCCATAATGCAAACTACAGAATGTGCAGAGACATTCATCAAGAAGGGGAAGGGGCAGAGGAATGGGAGAACATGAAGGTGGGATTATATTTGGGTCTGAATTTCAGAGATGTAGGGAAGTCAAGAGGGAACTATCCTCACCCTTCCCCATGCAATGGTCAGAACTGCCCAATGTTGGGATAGTATGCTATTTTCTGTTCTGGAAGGGGGAAAGAACAACATGTAGCTTACTGGAAGGAAGCATTTAACATGAAATACAGAATGGCTGAACACACTAAAATAGGATTCCCTGTGTACAGGCCATAGGCCATGAGCATAGAGTACTTCAACAGATTCATTTTCTGGTCCATTAAATAATTCTAGTCTTCCACTCTTACAAATGATGAAAGTTAATGTTTCTTTGGAAGAAAAAAAGCAGTCTTTTCTTCCCTTTCTTGGTTTTATTTTGAGAACGGTGTGCAGGGAGGCATCTTCTTCCATTTAAGAAAATGGATGACAAATGAAACACATAAGTTAAAGGGGAAGAAAGGCAAGGGAACCAAATGGCTTGGTGACAAAACTGTGTTTTGTTTTGTTTTGTTTAAAAGGAAAGATGAGAAGAAATAAAATGAAACTGCTTTAGAAAAGATGCTAGACTCACACCTTGAGTGGCAACTGAGCCAGGATTTTAATGACTGTGGGAAAGAGGGATTTCCCCAGTCTATTGCCAAACTGCAACCAGAGTTGCAAAAACAACACCAAAAGCAGCATCAAAAGGATGAACATCAAAGCATTCGGTACATGTCTCCAAATCTGACAATGTTCCCAGCTATTGCTTTCCCTTCTGGAAGCAGCGCAAATTTGCCAAAATTTCAGCAATTTTTTTGTTTGTTATTTTGGAAGTTGTTACAAATTTCATTTAAAACTTGACTTTAAAAATGTTGGTGTTGATCAATGTTAAGGTGGCAATGTTATATAGTACATTACCTGATCTGTACAGGTACATCTACTTCATTGTCTTTTTTCTGAGGCTTCTAAAATGTGAGGGTGGTGAAAGGGAATTACATTAAAAGAATGTTTTCTTTTAACTCTGGAATGCAAATTCAGGTTGAAAGAACTTCACAATTCCCACAGCATGTCTATTTGTGTGTAGAAAGTTATGAAAATGCTACCAACACTGGTACAAAAGAATGCGTTCAGATAGATCTACTAAGAGATTTTAAACTCCAAACTTACACTCTGCTCAGCACAAATTCAGTCCAGAGATTTTAATGGAACTTCAAAGCTGGGTTTCTTCCAAAGGCACCCTTTTACCCTTTTAATGGAAGATGATGGGGGGGTTGAGATTCACGTGGAAAGGAAAGATTTCATTGCGTTCAGCTCTTTCTTGTGGGCGTGGAAAAATATGTTGTGCTTGCTGTTGTGCGAGCACGCATCTGTGTGTGTTGATAACGTTACGTGGGTAGATGGGCATGTTCACACAGAGGCAAACTGTGCAGGGTTGGCTGGAATGGCCTGCAAGAAATTCTGCTGCTGCAGGATCTCCCTATAGACGTCCAGGAACAATATAAGAAGGATGGTTCTTAGGCTGAACGCTGGCTGGCTGGCTGTGTCCCTGAGATCGGAAAGAGCAGTGCATTGATCCGGCAAGGCAGGCAGGCCAGGCAGGCATGCGTTAGCAGTCCTTTCTGGGTCTGAGATACCAGACGGGGCCCTCTCTCCAGTGGAGAGAGCCAAGACGCGCCCCAAAGCGTCAGGCAGAAATCTGTCAGCGGCAGCATCTGCTCCCCGCTGCCCACCCTCCTCCGTAGCAAGAGCTATTCATGTCACGGGGCTTTTCAATGGCCAAGATGGATTCATAGGCCATTTCAGTATGACTGTGTGTGCCTTCTAACCTTTCAGGTCAGCTTCCAAAGGACACCAGGGAAGGCCTCCTCACCACGTGACCTTGGGGGGGGTGCCAATGTCCTTCCATGAGGGGGTCAGCCCACGCCTGGTAGCAGCGAGCGAGAAACGCGGGGAGCCCCAGCGATGCAGAAGGCAACCTACTACGACACCTCCACGCTCTTCGGGGGCTACTCCTACCAAGGGGCCAATGGCTTTGGCTACGAGGGCCCCCCGCCGCAGCCTTTCCAGCCTGCGGCCCACGTGGAGAGCGACTACCAGAGGCCCGCCTGCACCCTCCAGTCTCTGGGCAACGCGGCCCCCCTGGCCAAAACGAAAGACGTGAACGGGAGCTGCATGCGCCCCAGTTTGCCTCAGGAGCATCACCCGCCCCCGCCCGTCTCGCCACCCTCCAATCCACTCGCCGCGGCCGCCACCACCAACAGCAGCAGCAGCAGCAGCACCGGCAGCACCGGCAGCAGCACCCATAGCCAGCCAGGCTCGCTCAAAAGTGGCCCTGGCAAGCCCAGCCTGGGCTCTAGTAGCACTGCCCTCACCAAGCAGATTTTCCCCTGGATGAAAGAGTCAAGGCAAAACTCCAAGCAGAAAAACAGCTCCCCCAGCACAGGTATAGCTGCTTTTCCAATCCTTCCACCTGCACCCCCAGCCCTGACCTGGTGAAGTGATGCTGGGGGCCAGGTGCCCCGGCCTGTCTATGTGCACGGAGAGGGATGGGGGTGTTGTGGGGCAGCGGGACTGAAAGGGCAAATGGGTGGAGATGAGCAGTGGGACATCCTCCCGCGTGAGTCCCTTGGGGATGAGAGCCCACAGCTCTAGGCTCTGTGCCTCCCACTGCCGACCGTGTCTGCGCCACTGTCAGCCATGGTGGGCCACTGTGCGTGGGTGAGGGAAAGGCCCGAGTGTGGCATCTGAAGAGCAGGACCTGCCTCTGGCCCTCCTGATGCATTAGACTACAACTCCCATACTCCCCCAGGCAGTTTCCCAACACACTTGGAGGGCAGCATGCTGGCTTAGAGGCCAGGGCTCTGCAGTCTTGGTCCTATTCAGAGCAGAGCCCTTGAAATGAATGGGGCTGGAGTGAGCCCTTACTGTGTTTCATTGAGTTGGGCTCGCATTGAGGATGACTCAGATGGAAGTGGTGACTCCAAAAATGGCCCTGCTCAAGAACGTGAGACTGGAGGAGGCATGTAGTAGGAAACAGGCCTGCTGGCCAAGGTCCCAAGGATGGGGGGCTAGGATGGCCGGCGCGAGAGAGGACAGGTGCTGGTGATAAACTAAATGGGCTGGTGAGATGTTCAGGAAGCTAGTGGGCCAAGGAAGATGCAGAAGCAGTTCGAAAGGGTTCTTTTGCTCTTTCTTGTCTCTTTCTGTCCCAGGCATCCATAGAACAGAAAATCCATCCTGCTTCCATTCTCTCAAGGGAGGCCATGGTGTTGGGGTTGATGAACTAGATGAATATTAAAATTGGTCACTTACACTGAGCTACCCCCCCCACACACACACACAATTTGTCCCCACTGGAGACACAGTTTTGGAGACTGTGGCTCACAGCTCTTGTCTTTTATGCCAGATTAGGCTAGCAGGGAACTAGGCTGGTCTACATGGGCGGCAGAAAGAGGTTAGAGGGTAGATTGTACCAGTTCAGAAAACAGTTCGGACTACTGCTTTGCCAATGCTCCTCACGAATAACTGCCATGATCATTGCCATGATCCTGAGCAATAAGACAGAAGGAGAAAGGGTTTCCCCCCCTCTGCCCTCTTGCATGGACCTTGGTTGTTGTTTACCTAAGGAAGCACTCCAAAATGCGCCATTTGAAGTGATGCGGCCCGTTCTCCCATCACGGGGTTGCTCCTCCTCCGCAGAACGTAGAACAGGCCTTCCTCGAGCCAGACAGGCTGGGTATAGCTGGCTCATCATGAAGCCCCCAGTTTGTAACGTCTGTTTCTTACACCTGACAAAATGAGTTTTCATCAAAGCCCCAAGATATGCATTGTACTCCATTTTATATGCCATTGGTTTAGCATGGATGCTCGCTAATGCCAGACAGAAAGAGACTAATTTGTTGCAGGGCTGAAGGCTACTGTTGCACAATCTTCACCTATTATCCCAGGCAAAATGGCTTTTGCCTATATATAATCTAATAATCTAGCACAAGGCCTGCCTGACATAAAAAGGAAAGATTTGTGCTTCTATTTAGACTAAAGGATTATTAAGTATAGCAGATTATACATAGGCAAAAGACTGTAAGTCACAAATGTCACTGACTCTGAAACCCATTCTTAGCACATCTATGCCAGAATCCTAAACAGGTTCACTTGGAAGCAACTATAAATGGCTTCTTTGGAACTTTTAAGTACTTTTAAGATATAGCCCTTACTTGGGAATGAAGTCCTTTGAAGTCCGCCCTGCTTCTTTGGAGTTTGATCATTGGTATACCTATCACAACCTGTTTCCTATTCAAGCCAACTTTGCAACAGATGCTCTAGTGACTGGTGTGCACCTCATACTATGCAGATCTGCACAGGCACTTTGTAACACACAGACTGAGTGCATTGTTGCATAAAGTACACCGAGCCGGATTAATGCCTGAACTGAGGCTGTTTGGGCCTGCTAGGCGGCTAAACTGTGTGGTGTTTTTACCATAGCAGCTACTTCTGCAAGTTCAAATACCTTTCTTCCTAGTAAAACTTGTATAATTTGGATGATTAAACTTTGCACATATCAATCTATGCATCTGGGGGTAGGGGAAGAAAATTGTTAAGGAGTCAGACAGTTCTGAAATGGCCTTATAAAGTTCTCAGTGACCAAAAAGGAGCATGCCAAAGCACATGGCTGCTATTATGGACTGATTTCATATGGTCCGTTTGTAGCCATCCAGATGTTTTGGCCTACAATCCCCATGAGCCCTAGTCAGCTCAGCCAACAGTGAGGTATGGTGGTAGTCGTAGGCCAGAACATCTGGAGGGCCACAAGTTGTTCACCAGTGCTTACCTGGAAGCAAACCAGTGAACAAGACTTCCAGTGAAATTCCCTTAGAATTAGCAGATTGAATCCAGGTATAGATGCAAGTGGAAGACAGATCCTGAATGTAACTCAAGCCCCTCAGTGAAAGGCAGATGCTGGAGATAAGCCAGAGCCTACAATAGCTGTGTTATTCCCTTTGGTCAATTTAAGTTTCACTGATTTGCACATGCCTGTGCATCACTTAATAAAGACTCCAAGGCCTGTGAAAATCCCCTTCCTCCTTTGGGAAATGCTGTTTTGGGGAGTGGTATGAAATCTGTCTTGAAGATTGTTTCATACAGCACTTCATGCTGCAGTCATGGAGTGAGGAACTTGTACACCAACAAAAATTTCCTGAGTGAATCTGCTAAGGGTCCTTGTGACACTTACCAAGAATTGCCTTTCAAATGTTTACTTTTCTGCTTTCTTCTCAGTGTACAAAGAGTGTTTTGCATTCTTTACCCCCATAACAGCCTTGTGTACATTGCAAGCATTATAAAGGAAAGAGTAATATAGGGTTAAATTATTACACATACAACATGAGGACACACACACGCACAGACACGTATGTGTGTAGTCTCTGTATCAGTCTGGGCAACTATGCAGAGCCTATGCATCCAGTGGCTGAGTCTTAAGATAGTAGAATGGGCTGCCCCATTTCCTATTATATATTCATTATTACATTTTATTGATTACATTTTTATACCAGTCCACAGCCCATAGTGTGTGTGATCATACATACACACACATCCCAATACGTGGAGAACTAGCAAAGCAACGCGTAGTGTGGGCCAGAGTTTTTGTCCCTGATGTGTTAGCTTTCTTCTTACAGGGAGCTAGGGAAAAGCTGTTAATCACAAATGGTGCCCACAATTGCAATCTGATGTGATAAAACCGCACTGCTTTTCCTCAAGATGCAATCACTTCATTCTGTTTCATGTCTAGACAAGGCCTAAAGCCCATTTATCCCGGGCTTACCTTTCACAGCTCTAGGATGCAATTCCCTGCTCACTGAACCCCAGTGCAAAACTCCCACTTATTTTAAGGCACAGAGCGAGCCGTATGGTTCAAAAAGGAAAGTGCCCAGGGTTCTGGCTCATACGTGAAAAGCTTGCTTTGCCCCCGAGGAAACCTAAATCCCCAAGTTTCAGTTAGTGAGCAGGGAAAGGCCTTCTATGCATGCTCAGAGACACCCTATCACTTCGCACAGTGCTTGATATGGGAGAAGGTTCCTATTGGGAGGGAGGGACGGAGGTTCATTGCAGCTGAGTTCACTTTTAATCATCCAAATACCTCTGCTCCCGCTTGCACAGGAGAGCTTCCCAGCGGGCGTGCCCCGAGTCAGGGCAGGCCTTGCCCCTGCACGCGTGTCAGCAACCCAGGGCAGGTCCACACGCAGCGCGTTCACTCCGCGCCAGGTGCAGACGCGCGCTTGCGCTTCCGCGGGCCGGTTAAATCCTGCCCAGTCTCAGGGCTACTGACTCCGCGGGCCCGTGTACACGAGCGCCTGATTAATTTCACTTTCCAAACACTGCCCACTTGCCAGACGTAATTTCCTTTGAAAGGGTCTGCTTCAAAATAATCGACTCCCAAATAAATAGCCCTGGATTCCTTTTCTGCATGACATGATCAAATTTTCATAAAGCGAGGGGGCAGCTTTGGAGAACAGAACTCTTAATAAATGACATGATTATGGAGTGAGGACTGGAGGAGAAGGGGAGGCGAGGCTGAAGCCTTCTCGCCTGTTGGAGGATTTATTAAGAGGCCTGTGCATTCAATTTTCTGCATGTAAGTAATTATCTTTGATTTCATTTCCCGACCTCCTTTCCAGAAAGCTGCGGCGGCGAGAAAAGCCCCCCCGGGCGCCTCCTCGGCTTCGAAGAGGGCGCGCACGGCGTACACCAGCGCCCAGCTGGTCGAGCTGGAGAAGGAGTTCCACTTCAACCGCTACCTGTGCCGGCCCCGCCGCGTGGAGATGGCCAACCTGTTGAACCTCAGCGAGAGGCAGATCAAGATCTGGTTCCAGAACCGGAGGATGAAATACAAAAAGGATCAGAAGTCGAAGGGCTTGGGGTCGTCCTCCGGGGGGCCCTCCCCGACGGGGAGCCCTCCCCAAGCCATGCAGTCCTCGGCGGGCTTCTTGAACGCCCTGCACCCCATGACCTCGAACTACGACGCCCCCTCTCCGCCCTCCTTCAGCAAACCCCACCAGAATGCCTACGCCATGCCCACGGCCTACCAAAACCCCATCAAAAGCTGTCCCGCGCAGCAGAAGTACGCCAACACGGCGCCCGAGTACGACCCGCACGTCTTACAGGGCAACGGGGCGGGCGGCGGGGGCTACGGCCACGCCAACATGCCCGGCAGCCCGGTGTACGTGGGCGGCAGCTACGTGGACTCCATGGGCAGCTCCGCGCCGTCGCTGTACGGGCTGAACCCGCTGCAGCATCACCAGCCGCCCAGCATGGAGTTCAACGGCGGCGCCGCCATGGGCTCCAACCAGCACCACGGACCCTGTGAGTCCCACCCGACGTACACAGACCTTTCCAGCCACCACGCTTCTGCTCAGGGTAGAATCCAAGAGGCGCCCAAGCTGACCCATCTGTGATGAGAGGGAAGGACAGACTCGGCGGGGGGGGGGGGAGTTAATGGGGAATGGGGGTGGGGGGCAGCTGCGTGAGTCAGTCGGTCGATTGGCTTGTTGGTTGGGTTGGAGGCCTCCTCTTCTTTGGAAGGCAAAGCATTTGTGTTGAAACCGTTCTAAAATCCTCCCAGTGCTCTCCTGAAGAGGGAAACCAGTTACCCCACCTGGCACAGTTAGTCTTGCTACTCAAGCCCATCTCCCTCCCCTCCGGCAGGAGGGAGTCAATGTTGATTTAAAACACTGGTTTTCCAGGGGCGCAACGAAGTGTGTGGGGATTTTACCTGCCTGGCAGTCACTTCATTGGGCTTGCAAGTCTTTCCGCGGACCAGTTCTTCAGAACTGTGAGGGCAGCTTTGTGTTCCCTCGCTATGGAACAAAAGGCACTCTGCGAATGCTCACAGCACATTTTTCATACATTTCAGTTTTTTAAAAAAATGATTGCATTTATAGTCTGCCTTTTTCATCTTGCAAGGAACCCAAAGCAGCAAACACGTGTCTCTTCCATGTTATCTGCACAACAACCCCATGAGGTAGGTTAGGCTGCAAGCCAGTGACTTGTCCAAAGTAACCCAGTGGGCTTCACTGCAGAATGGAGATTAGAACCTTGGTCTCCTGAACCAGTTCAACACTCGAATCACCACACGCTTCTAGATGACCCCGCACATTTGAAAAATAAATGAAAAGGTCCCACAACTAGGAAGGACCTGGCTTTAAATTAAGTCGTGCCGACGGCCAGGCCATCACTTAAACTGAAGCAAGTCAATAAGGTTTCTTGGTCTTCCTATAAGAGCCAGCATGCATTTTCTTAGGTGTGAGAACTTTTTGTTGGAGGTTCTGTGGTACACAAGCTCCCGCTTGCAAATTCCGTGTGCTTTAGTCAAGCTTAAATGGATTCCCTGCATCGACACAGAACAAGATGGACAGACTGAGGAAATAGGTAGAATTCTGCCCTGTAGCATTTCTGACTGCTGAGGGTGAAGGTGACATTTTAAAATACCTTCTGTGTGAAGCATAGCAAAACAAAACTCTACTAGTGCAGTAAACTGGCATATTGTCCTGATGTGCTAAGGTTCTACGTGCAGGGAGGATGCGTACCCCAAATGAGGGAAATTCAAAAATGCAACACGTACTTACAATCTGCCATGCAGAACTAAACTCCTCTAACCGATTCCACCCCCTCATTCTATGTAACCTGAGGATTCATTACTCTTGTTAGTTCAAGTGAATCTGAATTTTTAGCATCCTTAGCTGGAGAGAACTTTTGTTGACATTAGACTTACTTACAGTCAAACAGCAGGGGGGAGTTATGGGAAGTTGTTTTGTTCTGAAGGGTTTCCATCCAGACTTAGTCATACTTAGAGCTGATCTATTGAAATGCATGGGTCAACTTAGTCATGACTCATTCTGAAGATCTAACCAAAAGACTAACTCAAAGTGTGTCTAAAATCTAGATCAGCTCAGTAGCTGTGCAATCAGTGCTTATACACTTCCCCACACACCTCAAGAAGAGTCCAAGGCACCTACTACGCAGGGCTGTAAACAGACCTCTGAAAGCCATCTTTTTGGTCTAAGATCTGAAGGGCAACATACTACTCATGGGTCACTTTCATACACACGATGCGGTGCAGATTCTGGGCACTGGTAGTCTGAGTGAAAAGGATGCAGGGTTGCGTAAGTGCCACAAAAGAGCAGCGCAATTGATTGGCACATGATAGGCCCTTTCCTGAACGCGGCGTGCATATTGCCAAATGAATCCGCTCCATAGCTACGTGGGAGTGAGCCCCACTGCAAGCAAAGGGACTTGCTCCTGCACAGGCAGGCATAGGAGTGCCATCTCGGACACGTGTCAAGCCTCGGCCCACCTGCGGAAGCATGAAAGCTGATGGCCCGAGTCCAGAGGGAAGTGCTGTTGCCATTCCTTTCCGCCAAGCTTGTGCGGGAGCTGAATCTGAAATCTGAAGCTGATTTCGATGATAAGCAGTCCCAGGCATTAAAACATTCTGTTTATCAATAGAGCGACTAAAAATGCATCTGTTTACAATGACGAAAAACTACGCAGAAAACTATGTTTGGAGACAATCCGACACACATACACCCACACTTAACTTCAGTGCAGTCCTATCTATGTTTACTCAGAAGTAAGGCTTGTTAGGTTCAACGAACCTTACTCCTTGGTAAGCAAGCTTAGAGCATTGATTGCAGCTCAAAGGGTTTGCCCCAATGAAGTACTCTTGGAATAGTGACGGGGAGGGAAGGGTGCTCCCAAATTTATTTCAGCCACTCCTAAAAGTCTTTGATCCTCTGAGAAAAAAATATCTTTTTGAAGTTGCATCTTATACATAATGAGGTCCTGAGGTTTCAACGCAAATGTTTTGAATGTAGAAAAGAGTGCCGATTTTTTAAAATAATAATTGAAGAATCCAGTGAAACAGACAATTTAATTTCTTTTTTAAAAAGAAAAAAAAGCATAGAATATGCACACAAAGTTGAGGATGTGTATCACAAATACATCCAGTTATTCCTAAAGCTGTCACGTCTCCCCCAAATCTAAACAACAAATCTATCAAATTGCAAAACGATTTGCTTGAAAAAGAGAACAATCTAAGGTGCTGAGGGGAAAAGGTCTTCATGAAGACTTCCACTCCCACCTTACGTCTTGCACGTACAACTGTTGAATTTTCCCTCCTAAAGGGACTCCCCGCCCCTTGACCTGTTTTTTCTACCAACCCTACAATTCCAGTATCTGAAAAAAGAAAAGAAAATCACTCATGCAAGCAATTGACAATTGACATCCCACCTCCATTCTTTAATCCCACTACCCATCAGATTTTTTCTTTTTTTAAAGGGAGAAAGAAGAAAATTGGCATACCGTTTTGCAAATAAATTTCTACAGAAAACTGGACTTGCTTTTTAAAAAAAAATAAAAACAGAAAATGAACAAAGGTCCAACGTTAGGAACCCCCTTCCTCATGAAGTGATTGCTTCCCCCTCTTTTTTAAGGGTTCATGAAGGTTTGGGGGAGTCTCTCATCGAAGGCGTCCTGCATTTATTTCCTTCTCTTCTCTTGAACGTGAAAACAGGGTATATTTGAACAGAAACTGGTATGTCCTCCAAATGGAAGCGGAAGTAAAGCCCTTTGAGGAGGGGGCGTATTTACTGAAGCCTCTTCTTTGGTCTGGCATCCTTCTTGCACTTGGAGTTTACATTTTAATGGGTATATATACCAACTTTTGAAGGACACCCTTTGGAGACGTCTTTCCAGGGGCTGTGCTGTGTTCCGGTGAACATTCATATATATAAATATATATATTATATATTTATTGGTTATAGCCAGTTTTAAACTATTTTTTCTTTTGTTGTTTTTTGTATTATTTATCCCCAACATTTATGTATTTATAAGGAAATGTACTTTTCCTTTTATTCTTTTTTTTAAGCATTTACTTGTTATAAAGGAATATGGTGTTTTTTCCTTGTCATTGTACAACCAGCTTCTCTTTTCTTTTTCTTATTTTAGTTATTGTAATTTAGGGGAAAAGCCAGTAGTTACCTTCGTACTTAAAATGATGTGTTTAGTTCTACTGGAGGCATGAAATCAGAGCCAGGGTGTAATTGTGTAGTCCTCAGTTCGTAGAACTAGCATTCCCGCCCCCCGCCCGTTCCCCTTTTCTCTTCTTCCTTCACCGCCACTTTGTCCTCCTCTTTTTTTGAAGCATCTTTCTTTGTTCTTTGCAGTAGATAACTTTATTTCTTTGCTTAAGGGTTGTCTGTTGAACAATTCTTGAATAAACTTTCTGTTCTTAATTTGCTCTTGTCCTATTGGTCAGATTTGAAAATAATAACAGTAAGGCAGAAAAGAGAAGCTGTGAAGGAAGGAGCAGTCCAATAGAAGAAAAAAAATTAAAAATAAGGCAACGTTTCTAAATTTTTCAGCCGTTAACGAGAAAGGCATATATCTCTTTTCTCCTCTCCCACTTATCCCTTTAGGTTATGACTGCAGTTCTTTATTTTACAGCGTATAAAATTGGAGCACTTTTCCTGGCTGATTGTGTTTACTTAAAAAGTTAATCGCTAGGGGGTTCATTTCTTCTCCTACTCCCCCGACCCCCGTCTCTCCCCTCCCCTTCTCATCCCTTTCCTTCCACTTTGAAAATCTTGTTCTAAATAGTCTCACGCCAATTAAAATTACCCATCATCTTTTGTGGCTACAAAGAAGGGTGATCACGTGCCATCCAGACTAAACAGCCATTGGGCCTAAAATGAAAACAAAGGAAAATAATGAATCATAACAAAAGGCACACGGGGCTTTCTGGCTGAAATTAAGAGAGTGGGGGGAGAACCTATGGCGAAATTAAATCACTAAATAAAACAAGAAAGGAGCTGAAGGCAGATGCTGTTCATGCAGCCGGGAAAGTTGGGGGGGAGGGGGATGTGCTAAGACGAAAAAACCAGTGAGCAAGATAAGATAAAGGCTCAGCTAATTTGTATTTTATGCTCCCAACCCTTAAGAAAACTTATTTTTACAAGCCACACATTTCCATAAAACTTTTATGATGTTGGAACCAAATGTAAATGGCCTGTCAAATTAGAGTGTCTCATTTATATGGTCTGTAGAATGATTCAGGTCAAAATGCAAGCTTTATTGAAGAGAGATCTTGGGACAGTGTTAACTCCACCATTCGGAGTGGAGTGGAGAGATGTGCATGCGGTAGTTTGAGCTACTTCCATCACACCACCAGGAACAACCACAACACCGTATTTGTTTAGTGCAACCAACATGCCCAGTGCTGCACTGAAACCATGATGGAGCGCTTCCCACCAACACTTTCCCTGGTCCTCTTTCTCTCTCTCCTCAGGAGTCTCTTTTGGGCGAGAGGAAGCAGCATGTCTTTCCATGCTTTTATTTTCTGGGGCTGCAGAGCGACATTTATTTATTCCCTGGAATGGGGTTCATGCTGTGGGACCCGAG